GCCACCCCTAATCCCTGCTCCCTGCCCCTCGCACCCCCCCAGCCCAGCCCCTCGGCCCTGCCCTACCTCACATAGAGCGAGATGGGCACCACAGTGTTGAGGATGATGATGTAGGACCAGAAGGAGAGGAAGCCAGAGAAGAAGGCACTGTGCACCCCCTCGTCCCAGGGCAGGTAGATCTGGAAGCAGACGCCCACCTCGTGCTCCCAGATGGCGTTGCCGATGGCCAGGATCACCCCCATGCACACCAGGAACCCGAAGATCTGGGGACAAGACGGGACATCAGAGCCCCAACTGGGCCAGAGCTGGGGCTCCCTGGGATCTGCCTTCCGCATACCCAGAGCACCAGCGTGTTCATCAGCCGATCAATGCTCGTCCGCTTAAACTTCGTCCGGCCGCTGTTCTGCATCAGTTTTGTGTCGGGCCCTGGGGAGAGGGAAGAGCATCAGCAGGGCCTCTCCCTTCCGTGCAGTGCAGCGGCGGCAGCTGTCCCAGCCCACCTGCAAAGACGACGAGGCCAAAGCACCACTCGGTGTTGCGCAGGACGCAGCCTCGCAGCAGCATGTTCTGGTTGCTCAGGGGGTACTTGCTCTCCTTCCAGTACAGCGTCCCGCCAAACTTATCCAGCTTGTTGTTGGGGGGTTCACAGATCACCTCACCTGGGCACAGGGGATGGCTCAGCTGTAACGTGCCTTCTCCACGTGGCCAGCTCCATCCCAGTGCTCCCAGCACCGTCCCCAGCTCCCCAGAGATCTGCTTCAAGCCACAGGACCACAACACCGCCTGGATGGTCCCGGTCTCTCCAGGGTGGACCCATGCCAGGAGCAAACCCAGGGGCTGCCCCATTGCAGAGCACCAATTGCAGGCACTCACCGTCAAACCGAGCCAGCTTGCTGGTGTCACCCAGCTCTGAGGTGACGGGGATGGCCTGCCGCACCTTCATGTTGGTCTCTCTGTGGGCAAGGAGGCACCACGTGTGGGGTTAGCGACAGCCTGGCAGGGAGGGCCTTCACAGGTGCTCCCCAGTTTCAGGTCCCCGGCAGCTCCTGCCCTGCCCGCATGCCGTTCTCACTCCTACCTCTCTCCTTCCCTGCCACCCGAGGCGAGCCGGGGTTACTTACCCGTCCAGCTCCGCGGTCTCTATGTAGCACAACCCATGGGGTTCGCTGCTGGAGAGGAGGAGGAGGTCAGCCTGCCGGGAGAGACACGTGAAGGGTTGTGTTGACACTAGGGCTCTCCTACACCCTCCCCAGGGAAGCTCCTGGCCCTCGAATGCCGGGGTCAGCGGGGTCTCTGAAGCCACCCTGCCAGCACCCTGGCCTGGACACCATTGCCTGAAGCACCCACGTCAGCCAAAACTCCAGAGCTCAAACATGGCTCAAACGCTACAACCGAAATGCAACTTCCAGGCTGGAAATTCCCTGATGTCTCCACCCCAGGAGATGATGGAGGAGCACAAAAGCAGAGCAGCCGCAGCACCACACCATGCTGCTGTCCCTGTGCACAGCCCAGCCGGGACTGTGCTCGTCTCGGGGCCACACTCACCGCCACGAACTGGTTGTTCTCCAACTTGATGATGTCTCCGACACGGACGTTCATCCACTGCTCCTGCCGGAGGCTGCAGAGGGACAGCAGAGTGGAGTTAGTTGGGGGCCGGCAGCATTGGTCCTCCCCTGCCCCACTGTGCTCTGCCCTGCCTGCAGCCCTGTGCCACGTCCTGCAGGGCTCCGTGCTCCCTCCCCGGCTTCCCCGTCCCCGTGACACTCACACTCCGCCGATCAGCACCTGAGACTGCCGGTTGTTCACCTGGTTGTCGCTTTTATGGCGGAACTGGATGCGGAGGGGAAGAGACAGCAGCATCAGCCCCTCTGGGGACAGAGTCCTGCATCCCTCTCCCTGCAAATGCCACGGCCCCGGGCACCGCACACCCGCACCAGGGTCACAGCGCCCTGCCCAGCCCCAAGTCCCCATGCCCGGGTAGAGGAACACGTGGGGGATCACTCACATAGTCGTCGGTGGCATCTTTGACAGCTGTGATGGTTAAGACAAGAACCAAAGGCACGATGGTGGTGAACCAGGAGAGTGAAGAGATCTGCGGGATCAGCTAGGGACAGGGAGCGGGAGCTGGAGGGGACCAGGCCAGCCCCAGGCCCACGCCACCCCTGCTCGAGGGAGCCAAACCCACTGCTTCGCAGAGGCGGGATGTGCCTGGACAGCCCGGCTGCCCAGCCAGGGAAGGACGGGGCAGGGGGACCCCATCTGCCTCCCCGGGCCCCCCAGCACTCACCTGCAGGATGAGGAGGAACAGGAAATAGGTATTGGCCACTTCCTGGAACTGCTCGAAGAGATTGACAGGCAGGAAGGTGACGATGTTGTACTTGGAGGTCTTGATGCAGTTGCTCTGGGGACAGATGGGGTGAGAAGGGGGTTCATGAGCTGCCAAGGCCCCGTGACCCCTCAGCATCGCTCTGGGGGCAGGGCTGCAGCTCACTGTGCCCCTAATTTGGGAGCTCTGGGCGGCAGCCCGGACCCCCGGCTCCTGCCCTGCTCTAACTCCATGGCAGCTTC